GAGATCATGGTTCGATTCCCGATTAGGGCTCAAGCCCCAGTCGAGGGCGTGTAGAAGGCAGCCGATCATTGACGACTCTCTCATCATTGATGTTTCTATCTCTCTGTCCTTCTCCCTTCCTCTCTGAAATCAATAAAGATATATTTAAAATAAAAACAAAAAAACCCAAAGACATAAAGAAATGGAAAGATAGCACATGTTCATGGATAGGAAGAGTTAATATTGTTAAAATGTCCATACTATCTAAAGCCATCTATAGATTCAGTGCAATCCCTATCAAAATTCTAATGGTGTTTACCAGGGGCTAGGGAGTAGGGGAAATGGGGAGATGTTTGTTGGTCAAAGGGTGTAAATTTTTACTTATAAGATGAATAAATTATGGGGAGCTAATGAACATGGTAATTATAGTTAATATATACTTGAAAGTTGCTAAGAGAGTAGATCTTAAATGTTCTAAATACAAAAAAAGATAATTACGTGACATGACGGAGGTATTAGCTAATGCTATGGTGGTAATCATTTTACAATATTAAGTGTATCAAATCAACATGTTGTACACCTTAAATTTACCCAATGTTATATGTCAATCACATCTCAATACCTGGAAAAGATAAAAGGAAAAAAGTAGTCAAATCATAGTGAACCAGATGATAGAGGTGAAGGTGGAATAAAGGGAGGGCCTATGACAGAACACCAAAATAGATTTGAGGCGAAGTTACTATTTTGTGTCAGGGTCAAGTATAGGAGAAAAAGTAAAGTAAATAAAATATAAGCTACTTTTTGGAATTTTATCATTCCCTCTTGAAATGCGTTGTCTTCAATTTTCTTTGCTCTGAAAAATGGAACCAATCAGATTTTAAACCAGTTGTTAAGTCTCTAAAATATCTATGAACATGATACCCATGTTGCTTTTGATACCTTAACCTTGTTAGGAGCCCAAGTTGCTTGAGTTAGGAGTCTTCCGGTTTGGGACTGCCTTCATTTTGAAGTGTTGTCTTTCTGCACTGTTGGAAGGAGCCATTGCTGGCTCCCCATGTAGCCTTGTATCAGGGAACAGGATCTCAGAGCCCAGGAAGAGCTTGTCATAAGCCCTCCTGTCTCCTCATGTCTTCAGAAAAGATGAGAATTCTCCTGAGGATTAGATCGGGGGAGTTCTCCAGTTAGAAGTGACACAGAGGCCCCCACGGTGCCTTTCCACCCCAGGTGTTTGGGAAAGGGGGATTAGTTGGCGTCAGGAGAGCAGAGCCTTGTGAAAGGTGTGGCAAATGTTGGTCTCTGACTACAAGTCTCTGCTTTGGGATGCTCACCCAGACTGGCTCAAACCTAGGTAGGGGCCACTGGCCCACACCCGAGTCAGGTGTGGACTTGTGTTCCCACCTCGAATGCCATTTGCCTGTGCAGTGAGAGACCAGGATGTGCAGCAGAGTAGGTGCTAGAGGTGTCACCCCATTGTGGGCAGACTCTTTGGATCTGTATTAATAACAGCCTGTCCCTCGGATTAGCTAATCCAGGCTTTGGTGCCGTATTTCCTTCCATAAGTAATGGAGCATGCACTCCTGAGGTATGTGTAGCACAGAGAAAATTAGTTCAGACCTCAATTTTTTTCTTTCAAGTGTGGCTGGACACTTGGCTGGGAGCATAATTACATGGTCTTCAGATGTTTTAAAAGCTGATTTTCCAGCGCCTAATCTCAGGGGAGTTGGATGCACTCTATGCTAATTATTGATTCAGATTTTGATTCAGATCCCATTGGTGGTGAGCTTCCTGAGGAATGTAAATAAGAATTAAAACGCACATACAGCACACACTACTCAGATGGAGGGGAACTCCAAACCAGATTAGCCTTTCATGGTCACCTTTCTTTAGGATTAGGAGAAAAAGAAAGCCAAAGGACAGCTTTGGAAATAACTCCATTCCCCATGGTGTCATAAAAGGCCAGAGCTCTTGGGGGCGAAGGTCAACAGCAAGTGCCAGCTAGGTACTGGGGCATGGTCCCAGCAGGACAGGTTTGACATTGCCAAAGGCCTCTTGTTAAAAACGGGTTTCCTGACCTTTTGTGCCTGGGCACTCTCAGGAGCTCAGATGTTTGTGTAGCAGGCTCAAGGACTCTCAAGTTCAAGTCACTGGCAGACTGGAGAGGAGACCTGGAATTTCTGAATTTCTGAGGAATAGAGGGCAGGGCCTCATTCGGTGAAACTAAAATCATTTGCCCTGTTGCTGGCCTAAGCAGTGGCACCTTCAGTCCCCAGCTTAGTCCCTGGGGGCTGATGAGGGACCCCAGGTACTCTCCCAGTCTCAGCCTTGCCCACAGGCTTGATGAAATTTAGTATGCTAATTAGGAGTTTGCCAAAATCAGAGCAACCCTCCTCCCTAGGGTAAGCCTTGTTTTTAGTTGTTTAAAAATACACCCTGAGACAGAAATGTCAGGACACCAAGTGACCCAGAAATCAGTTCAAAGGTTATTCTGTTCCTTCACTCCCCAGAACTCAGGCGTTCCCACACTGGCCTCCGCTGCTAGGACAGTTCATTTTACATGTCTGAGCGGATTTGGACCTCCCAAGATGTTTTGGGGGAGAAGTTGACTTAAATGAGTTTGCCCTGCTCTGTGAGGGAAGGAATATAGCAGGCAAAGATCTTTCTGAGAAAGCTACACACAGGTTTTGATGCAATTTACTTGAGAATATTAGTAGTCACAATTTTATCCCCTCCCCCCACCAGCCATAAGAGAATGGGTCGGTGTTCTCATAAATCTTGCTTACCCCGTTAGCACTAATTTGTACTTAGTGTTGGAAGTGCATTCTGTTTCTGACTTATACAAAGAATTGAAAGGTGATGGTGGGGGAAACAATTCCTTTTTTTGCAGTCATTCAAAATGTCTTGTTGGACTTTGGTGTAGAAAGAATCTTTGTCTTAAAGCTGATAATAGCCAACCACCATCATTTATTGATTTGTGTGCTCACTTTGTATTCATCCAAGTAATAACCCCATAAAATAGGTACTGTGATTGTTTCCACTTGTCAGACAAGCAGAGACTTAGGGAGAGTAAGTGAGGTCCGCAGATCCTAGAACTTAGCCATCTGAGTGCAGCCTGGGCTTAAGCAGCAAGCAGCATTTGGCTTCTGTTGGTGGTGTGGTCTTGGTTAATTTAGGATTTTGAATTGATTGGAGCTGCACAAATACCCAGGATTCAGTCTGCACCCTCTACGGAAAGTGAGGTCCTTGGACCAGCAGTATAGCAGCACCAGGAAGCCTTTCAGTTACCCAGCCCCAGGGCTACTGTACAAGAACCCCCCACACCCGCCATTCCCATGCAAACTTGAGAAGCACTGCTATTTGCTACCAGAGAGGAATACATCCTTCACTCTCTCCCTTACTTCCCTCCCCTCTGTCTAATCTTGTCCAGTAATTTTAAATTCTTTAAAAGTAGCAGTTACCAAAAAAAATCACAATGTCTCAAATTACCTTATCAAGGAGTATTCAATGCTGTAGAACCAGTAGCATGATAAGGATTTCCAAGCATCGTGGAAAGCCTTTTGAGAAATTAAAGAAAAATGTAAACATTTAAAATAATTTGAGTTTCAGAATTCATAGTAACATACGATTGATACACACAGGCCCCTCTGAGACACGGAGGTCTGAGCGGTCTGAGAGACTCAGTTCGTGGAGGTTTCACTTTGGGCCATGTTCCCCTTGTTGCTGGAAAGGAAAAGTGAGAACCAAGCTGTCAACAACCCTGGTTCCTGCCAAACCCCATTTCTTTGCCTGCCAGCCAGGATTCTAAAAATGCATTTGGGAATTCTGACTGCAGGCTCTTACCGAATATGAAACTCTGTGTATATATAGCCTTGATAAACTGACCCAGCTTAGGGATAGCTGATCTATTTGTCTTACAAGATCCAGAATCCACTAGAAGAGGTAATAATGAGGCCCTTGAAAGTACTGGAACCGCCTGCCCCCCTCAACCTGTTCCCCACTGTGCGTGGGTCCCCATTCTGAACCTCCCGTTAGGCCATCCACAGCACCAGACAACTGCAGGACTAGGAGCAAAGCACGTGCTGGGGCTCCAGGGGACCACGAGGCTCTGCCGTAGAGCCTGGTGAAGCTGGGAGGGCATCACTTTCTGGCCCTCAAAGGGGCAGCATCGGATATGATCTATGAACATGGAGGGCTAAATGCTGCCACTTCTGCCTACAGTGTATTACTTTGGACCCCGTGTTTCAAAAGCAAAATTACTAAGATTTGGCAGAAAGGCCTTAAATTGCACCATCACATCATTCGCAGCCCTGAGTCCTTGTCCTTCGAAGTCAGAGATCAGTTTGAATCCTGGTGTCGGTCAGGAAACGGTCCTTAGTCCAAGCCTTCATGTCTTTTTTTAATTTCAGGTGTAACATTTTTAACATTTGCTTTAGTCACTACCAGCATATCTAACGTGCAGTTTAAGGAATGCCTGCAGGCCTCACCACCACGGAGGTGTCGTGTCTCAGTTGCAAGGCGGGCACAGAGTGACAGCTGCCCAGCTCTGGAGGCCGTTCAAGGCTTTCGTGAGGGAGCACCCGGCCGGTGACAGTTGACAAAAAGGGTCACACAACTGAAATGTGCCTTTTCTCCCGAGTCACAGTGTTCTGGTGGCCTTATAGCTTCAGAGGAGTAAATGGCTAATGGGTTTACCCCTGGTGGCAAAACAGGTGGTGGAAAAGTACTTCATTTTTTGCTTACTGCCTTTGTTTCCGCACCTCTTCAGACCCTTCCACGAATTCTTTTAAGGGCAGCTGAGCAGACGGCACAAGTCCTACCTACGACTGCGGGCAGGCCCAGCTTGCACCCAGTCGGCCTCACCTTTCGCTGCCCTCCCAGGAGTCAGAACAACAAAAACGTAATCCTCGTGAGGCTGCTGAGCTCACGGGAGCAGCCGGTTCCTCCCTGACGGCAAAGGTCAGGCCCCACAGGCAAGGCAGGCGGTTCTCAGACATTCCCGACCCTGTCAAAAAGTTCAGCACGTCCACAGTTCAAAATATTTTATTTAAGTTTATACAAAATACAGTCACGTACAAAAATGTACATAACCTTTTTCATTCAGTTTACATTTTAAAAAAGGACAATTCCAATTTCAAATTCTTTCTGCTTACATGTCATGTAAACGTTGTCCTGGGCCCATTTGATTTACCAAAATTGTGTCCACTCGTAGAGATTTTCATGACCGGAGAGGTGCTTGCAGATGGAGAACCGGATCTGCCAGCACAGTTTCTCGAGCCACGCACACGACGACTGGCCTGATTCCAGGCAAGATGAGATTCTCCAGAGACGCAGCTGCAGCTTCGGGGCAGCGTGAAGTTGTGGGTGTGCCGGGTGCACTTCACGCCCACATCTATGTAAACCTGTGAGCGACCTCAGCCGGTCCACATACACCTGTCGTGAAGGACGGCGGTGGAAGAACGCGGGTGTCCGGAGGGGCACAATCTCTCCTCAGGAAAGCGATCAGGGACACGAGGGCTGACATGAGGAGCTTGCCCTGTCGCCGCCCTGTGACGAAGGGCCAGTGCTCACAATTTGACATTTCAAGGGTCAAGTGGGGGGAAAATAAAAGAAGGGAATAAAAGGAAAGAAAAGCACGTTCTGGGTTTTGGGAAACACGTGGGCATCAGAAGAAACACGGCTTCAACAATTTAGCACAATTTTGTCCCTCCCTGTTGATGTAACCAAGTGGACACGGAAAAGGAACGCGGAGGGAGTGTTGGTCTTGGTGCAGAAACCACCACTCCCCACCTCTGGGGAAAAATCCCAGGAAGCAGAGTGTCAGGGAGACCCCTCTTGGGAGCAAAATAGAATTCAGACTACACGGTTCATAGTTTATGGCATTCAATTAATACACCATCAAAAGTAGTAAGGTGTGACCCTTAAAAATGGCATCTTCATGATCAGATTAGGAAGCACTAAAACAATCAGCAAACTTTAAAGTTGGATTTTGCTTGTAAATCTGTGATAGGTTCTAGATACTGGGCCCAATTCCGTCTGCTGAGACCTAGGCAGCCCCAAAAAGAACCAAATTAATTGGCACCATGGCCACACCTTGATTCTGTAATAAACTTAAATATTCACCTTATAAGGAATCCCAAGCTCGATCACGCTAACCAACGCTCAGCCCCCAGGGGCTCCAAGTTTGCTGGCCTCAGAACATCTCAGTGTCACATTTATGACACAAGGACTGCCCTGAGGCATTTGTGCGGGGCTGGAAATGCCTCACCTGGGAGCCGAAACACCCTGCAATAGGCTCTTCTGCCACTGCGCCATGCTGCGTCAGAACGAGACAAAGCAAAAATTACACCGATGTCACAGACAGAGACACTGCCGACCCCCGCCTCGGCAGTGCTAACCCTGACTGCAAGCTGGCACCCGAAGGGGAAATCTAACTTGGTTTGGTCTTTCGTGGAAATTTGCCCTGACTCGGAGATCACAGACTGGGCCGGCTTTCTTCTAATAGCTCAAGAAAACTTGGGCTGCCTCGAAAACGTCTAAGCAGGCCCTTCAGACTAAACCTTGTGCTTACATGACCAGAAAGTGAAATCCGAAATAAATGATTCAAAGATGAAACGCAGTAATGATACCGTAGTTCATATAAACACCTATTTCAATGTTTACTCAAACGAAGCCCAAGAAAAGCAAATGCTTTTGAAAATTACAAGCCTCTTCTATCTTTAATTCTTACAACCGCACAATCAAGTTTATTCATGTTTTACCTTTACTTATTGTTAATAAATAACCCTTGACATTTATTTCGTTGGCATGTGGTAATAAACACGCCCATTCCCAAGAGAGCAAAGGAAAAAAACCCAGCCCAGAGTATTCCGTGTGAAGCCGATTACGATGCCGCCTCCAGGGCCTAGGGACCCCGGGCTACAGAGATGGTTGCTGTGGAAACAAATTCCCCTCAGCACTCTGGCGGCGGGCCTAGGCTAACAGGTCTTCAGATAGGATCTCGAGTAAATAGGGCTCCCCCGCTTAATCGGGCGCCATTCGACGGAGTGTACAGATTATCAGAAGTTCCAAAGGAAAACACGACGCTCCATACACAATTTATTGTACTGTACTTGGTGTTTGGTTTTATTCAATCATACAGATTTGAATGGGGTTTCCTGAAGGAATCTTTGACGTAATTTACCTTTGGCAGAAACAATAGATTTCAAAACATTTAGAAACTTCTCATTTATATAGCTTTTCCTCTCTTTAAATTCCGCAGCACGTTAGTATTTTCCAAACAATACTCTTAAACAGATGTGCTTTAAAGGTTAGCTGGTAATGATTTGATTTACATTGTAGCTTATTTAAGAGAATAATTACTTACAAATAACAGACTAGACATGTGTTTCTTTTAAAAATACAATATTTGGTCATGTGAATGATTCATGTTCAGATTTCAAAAATAGAAAACGTCCTAAAGTGCATCATTTTATTTATAACTCCTTGAAATTATAGCAATCTGCGATGTAAACAGTAGAGCAAAGAATACCAAACTATATTTTCATATACATTTACATTTGTAGGATTAGGTACCATCTTTAAGTGTGTGGATTAAACCAGGGCACTTCTAACACATTGCTCATGCTTCTACATAAACATTTCTCTCACCCACTCCCGACTTAAACAATTTTCCACCGACAGAGCTGCCCCCTCACTTCAGCAATGGAAAAATGCTACTATAAATCCAATCTGACCAGTTTCTCAAGAACCCAGGGCTAGAAACTGACAACCGGTCAGTAGAGTTTTCCGTTCTTTCTTTTCGTCTTCTTACCGGCTCCCCCCCATAGAGGTGGGCATACCCTGTGGCCTTGCTCAACCTGCAACACTGTCTTTAAAGGGTAGAGCTGCCAAAGCGCCTTCTGGCAACGGGCTGGTGTGTGGCCACCTGCCCGACCTCAGAGCACAGAGGCGCACCCAGGACGCACAGGGAGAACCAGAGCCCACTTTCCCTGGTGTGGACAGAAAAGGTTAAGACGTAACAACAAGTCACGAGGTGATGTCAGCACACTGAGGAGATGAATGATTTGGTGTCTTAAATTCCCTGGTCCCTCCGTAATGTCTAATATAGACAGCTTTGTGACACAGTCTTCGAAAAAATTATAATCACAATTGGCTACACAACATTATTTGTTCACTTTACACATAATCTTGAAAATAGTGTGATTTAGATTCTGCCTTGGGTCGAGATCCAAGGGCTACATTTACCCCTCAGGTAGGGGATTTTAGTGCAGGTTTGCTTAAAAAAAAAAAAAAAATTAAGCTCTGGTAAGTACTCAGGTGGCTGAGAACACAGGTGCTCTCCCCCCTCTCTCTTTTATGATCCTCCACGCTTCAGCTAAGAATTAAGCAAGGCCCTTTACATTTGGTTAGTGCCAAAATGAAACCAGCCCCAACAGGCGTTGCCATAGCATGCTGGCCTTGCTTAGTGTCTGATGTTAAAATCTGAGACTGGTAAGTGCTGTCAATGTTGAGGAAAGGATTCTCTAGGCTCTTCACCCTGTTACCTGATTTAAAAATCAGCGTGAATATAGTTCCTTGTATACTCTGCCCTGTGCCGATGATCCAGTCCTACAGGGATCTTCGTTAGCTGAAGAAGTCTTGAAAGCACGCTGTCCAACAGATGCCCGTTCTGGGCAGACACAGCTTCCATCTACCTGAGAGCTGGCGGGAAACAATTCACACGAGTAGGGGAAGGTGCAGCTCTGTAGAAAGGTCACAGGAATGGCCAAGGCAGCAAATAGGGCTCCAATGCACATTCCCACTTTATGGGGTCCAAAGAGAACAGGGACCTGCACAGCAAGTTTGCTCTATGAAGTCCTGAGCTGGTTTTCATCCCATTGGACTGAGAATGGTCTCCTGTTTCTTAGTGATCCATGGAAGAACAGTGGACATTCTCCGCGGATGAGTGTCTCCATGTAGTGACTCATCACCGCTAGTGTTAGTACAGCTTCCACAGCCGTGTGTGCGTGTGTGTGTGTGTGTGTGTGTGTGTGCACGTGTGCAGGAATCTTAACCTTCCCTTACAAAATTCCCAAGTCAGGACCAGCTGCCTTCTTCTATCTAGGTGGCTGCTAAGAGAGGCACTGGAAACCAGAGCCCATCCCAAAGGCCTGGAGGCAGAGGTGCTCCATGCTTTGCGTCCAGCTCTGAGGCTGCCTTCCAGTTTCTGCAGAGCTGCTCTTCCCCGGGGGATGCAGATTCACGGTGCATCGCCAGCCCCCTCTGCTGGAGCTCGGCTGCCCCCTTACATGGACTTGGAATCAGTGTCTCTCTTGCTGATGAGCACTTCCAAGAGCCTTAGTTTCGCCTTTATGTGCTTATATTCGCTGTACTCTTCGGCCATAGGAGTGCGGTCTTCCTTCTGGACATTTCTAATGGAAACAAAGGGAAAGGGGACGGAGGATTATTTGCTGTCTCCCAGATGATACTGTTCAGCAGGCGAATTACCAGCATTCGCAAACTTGCAGTTTATCAAGCGGCAGAATCAGTGTGGCCAAGCGTCACTGGGTATGAAGACTGGAGCTGGGTTTAGATAAGCAGTGAAGGACAGCTTCTCCCAGAGGGCACCATGTGACTGAGTTTCTATAGTTAACCTGGCACCTTATAGAATCACATGAAGGGCTACGAAATGTAGACATTCTCTCTCTCTGCTGCTGGTATGTATGAATTCACATTAAGAGTCTCCATACACTGAAATCCTTTATTCATACTTAATGCTTTCTCACTTATATATATTTCACCTAATAAACCATTAAATTTCTAATTAGCAATTGGTATATCCATAAATTACAGGTTTTCTTTGTTTACAAAACAACAGATAGTTAATACTCCTAATTATAAAATTAGTCTTGGAATTCAACAATTGAATCATAGTACTAGTAAGCCTTGACAGTTTACTGAGTAATTTTATATGCATTCTTTTTACATGCACAAGTATTAGTTGAGAGCTTATTTATATAGGTCAATCACTGCACTAAGTGGCTCTGCCTCCATGATGTAATATGAGCCTCAGGATGAAATCTATGCGCGGCCTATCACCCACGGTCCACACAGGCGGAAAGCGGGCCAGGAAATCTGTCCCGCTGCAACGCAGCTGCTCCCGTCCCTGGGCGGTGCCGTCCGCTTCTCTTTCCACTTTGAAATGCACATGTCAAACATTCAAACACCAGGCTTCCCTTTCTTCTTGTTAAAGAAATATGGGAGAGGCAATAGCATGGGCCTTATTTTACTTTGTTCAATGAACTAAAAATAAACGTATTTATTGCTAGCCTGCTCTGTTCAAGAAAATGATTGTAGGTGGCTCAGGGCAGTGATGGGAACAGGGCAGTGGGAAGAGCCCCAGCCGTGTCCTTTGAGGGGTTCACTCTCCTCAGATACAAAATGATGGAACCAGATTTTATGATATCTGATGTCCCTCAGAGTTCTAAACTTCTGTGATGATTATTAATTTCCATCAATTATACTTTCTGAATACTCGTGAAGTTTATAGAATTATATATAGTTCCTCATGCATAGGATACTTGTACATAATGTGACTATAATTATATGGAAAGATAAACAGACAAACCAAAAATGTGCCTAGAAAGAAGATTGGAATGAAACACATTGAAACATTAATCCTGGCCTGTCTTCGGGTATTAGTATCACTTTGGGTATGATTTATTTTATCTGCTTACCTATATTTTCTAAATATCCTGCAACACATGGGGAAAGAAAAGCAAATATTTAGGCATAAAATTTATAAATCTTGAGAAAGTCATTACAGGACAAATCCAAATCAAAGATCCTAAAAATAAATGTATACAATGATCGAAATAAACAGGAAGACAACACATTCTAAATCCCAAAGTTCATTTTTATGGTCCTTTTATTTCCCGACACTTTTGAGAAGTATGAAAGGGGACTTAATGAGAAACTATATTTACATTGGTTAGGTAATTTGGATTAAAATAAAATCAATTCAAAAATGAAAAAAAGGAACTCCAACGTAAGAGCTGCAAGTCTCTTCCGTGTCTGCGTGTCGCCTGCTGTGGCCGAGTCAGGCGGTGCAGTCCCCGGCAAAGGGAAGGCTGTCCCTCAGCACAGCCGACGCGGGGGTCCGCTATGCCTGAACCCCCTGGAGGAAAGCGCCCTATCAATCGGGTGCCTCTACTGCTTCTTGTATATTTTTCATTCAAACTTAACGACGATCATCTTTGCTTCTAAAATGTGCTTTAAAACCAGCAAGATCTAGAGTCCTCCTTTCCTTATTTCCCCTTCCAGTTTAAGACAAGCACAAAAACCAACCAGGGCCGTCGAGGGGAACTGAGCCCCACGCTGCTCGTTTCAGATTAGAATTCGATGGGACAGGCTAGTTGTGTAAACGTTGGCTCAGCCCGCATCAGCCTCAGCCATCCCCAAGGAGCCCCTCTTCCTGAGGACCATGCAGACCCCCCACCGCCCAGTGAACCCCGAGGGGTCCTGGGCACAAACCCCGGGGCGGCAGCGCAGGAAAAGGAGCGTGTGCAGAGGCGC